GGGGGGGGGGGGGGGGGTACAGCAAGTTGGCGGCAGAGGGGGTTGCTGACCCCACAAAACAAGTTTTTATTTGGAGATCCCGAGGGTCGGGCTCCAACAGTACACTTCAATATCCTGGGTGTGGGGCCAACTAACATGGTGGACAGAGGACTGCCGGGAGCATACACGGTACGGTTCGGGAGTAGCAGAAGGCAAAGACGGGAAAGGATAAGGACGGACGGGACGGTTTTCTGACTGTAGGAAGAGAAGAAATTACTATTAGACATGGGCGTGACGGTACGAATGAGATTTCAGGACAAAATTGTGAATACAAAACATGAATTTTACGCAATTAAAAAAATCCTTCTTCCCGTGCTTTGAAATGCGTCGAAAATAACTAAATTTTTTGCAGCCGTTTCAATTCATATTTCAATTGCCCCCTCTCCCTCTGTCCTATAATTAAGGTCGCCGTATCTAAATAAAATAAGAGCATATGCTCCATTCATTCTTTAATCCAATCCAAATATCAAGAATAATTAGAAATATTTTGTCCCCGAAGTAATGCATTCATGAGAGATAAAAGATTCATACAAAGAAGAATTACGATCAACGAATGTGGATTTACATATCGACAACTTTTTTACGTATTATCATAAAAACCAGACCCAACGATCCTGTCTGGAATTTTGTAAAAAAAAAAAGTAGGCAAAAACAGTGTTCAAGCTGCAAAAGGGGGATCACTGTGGCTTATAAAAACGGTACCTTTAACTGAAATATTCACTAAATCTAATGTTTCTGATCGGCAGAAATAAAGCCTGAAAGTTTTCAGTTTAAACAAAAATGCACTTTTTGAATTGTAATTTTGGAATTTTAATAGTGAATGAAAAGGGCAAACTGAGATAAAGACAACTCTGAAAATTAGTCATCAAGTCCAACACCTCGGTCTTTGATATTGAAAAGAAATAAGGGAGTCAGCTGATGAATGGAGAATATGCAAAAGATTTATAAGAAGAGGGAAATATAGAATAAGGGATGGGGGTTGTTGTTGTTTATATTCTAATATGACGTATAAGGTCAGCTTGGAAACCAGATTCATTGTAAACTAAACAAAGACAAAACAAGGCAGTTTCAGGATGGCAATGCTTTTAGACAATCCTGTTTCTGACTTTGGTTTAACCAAATAGATTATCAAGTACAATTGGTGGCAACACAGAAATGAACCATTGTACACAACGTCACAAGTGTCAAATATAACAAGGAAAACAAAATTGTCTCACATTAGTTGACATGTTTTCCAAGATTAATAAAAAAGTGTAAAAAGAGAGACTAAAGAACACATAAAATTGAACTTATTTTACCGTAAGAAAAGCACTTTATTTTAAAAATATCACTATTATTGATAATTTTGTCGACACAAAAACTGAATTGACACTTGTGACGGCAGAATACAACTGTACTGAGAGTGTACAAATTCTACGTTGTACTTATTGTACTTAACAATCTATTTTGGCTTAACAAGTAAAACTAGTCTTATCCTAATACTTATAAACAATCAAATGTAAACACATCCTATCTTAACCAATAAATGCATCAGGTATCCCCAATGCTCCGGTTTACAAAAATCCCCAATACTCTGTACAAAATTCCCCAATGCTCCGGTTTACAAAAATCCCCAATACTCTGTACAAAATTCCCCAATTCTCTATTTAAAAAAATCCCAATACCCTGCTAACAAAAATCCCAATACCCTGCTTACAAAAATCCCAATACCCTGCTAACAAAAATCCCAATACCCTGCTTACAAAAATCCCAATACCCTGCTTACCAAAATCCCCAATACTAAGAATACATAAGTCCCAGAATATCCTGTTTACAAAAATCCCTGATACTAGTTTACAAAAATCCACATAACTCAGTTTACAAAAATTCCAAATAATCTGCTTACAAAAAGTGAACTGTACGTTGCGGGAAGAAAATAAACAATAACCTCCCAGAAACTGTATAATATTTTAAAACATTTACATTTCTTGGCTTAAACCATATGGTTTAAACCATTATTTTAGAAAAAATAAGAAAAGATAACGGCTAAAATATGTAAAAGTTAATGATTTTTTATTTATTTATTTATTTTATGTTAATTGATTCATAAGAATATATTCTCAAAACCTTAATTGTAAAATGAGAACTAGAGCGTAGTATTCATAATCTGTACATGTACCTCAAGCAAATATGGAGATTTTAAAGATAAAATGCAAAAAAACCTGAACCCCCAACCTAAAACTTCGCTACACCGCAAATATAGATTATAAGTTAAATATAGTTGACAATCAGAAAGATTAACTATACAATAAACTTAATAATGAATTGAGATTTCACATGAATAAAAAAACAGATTAAAAAATATATGACGAGCTTTTATGAACTTGACTGTATAGACTTTTGATAAATTTTCCTTTAGAGCACATTTTTACTCATCTTGTTTTTCTACAGATCAAAATTCGCAACAATTTTTATTTTAGATTTGATCAATCGTTTGCAACCTTAAGTTTGCATCAGATTTAAATTTTCTTTTTTATTATCTTTCAAGTGGAATCAGAAAGCTTGCATAATGTATGCGAAATATTAGCCATAATTTATATCGCGATCTTTTCTGAAGAGTATATTTAGCGTTATTTACAAAAATTTAAATGTGAACACAATGTATACTTTTCCAAACAACAGTGCGATTTAAGAAGAAATGATAAAACGCAATTCCAAATTCATAATTATAGAGCATTGAACTTGAGGGTATTTCAGACCAATTTTCTTAAATAAAAACAACTGTTTCAGATTTAATTTAGGCGTAAATATGAATTTTCAACAATAAGACTAAAAATCCTTACCCTGGTGACCAACATCACTCATCGTACATAATCTGTTGATGTTGTCAAATATATAAACTTCACTTTAATCCAATTCAACAGCATCAACAACAGTTCACAGCTAATATAAATATATATACACTCCTCCTATCTGTTAGTAACGTGAATTAGTGTAGGACTGAACTAAACTAGGCACCACCACGCTATCTACTCTACCCCACACCCAGCATTCTCCATACTTGTCTACTATTGGATACTCTCATTGTCACATGATCTCCTCTATACCGCCAGAAGATTTGCAAAAATCTTATTGGCAATACGCAAAAAGGCCCAACATTTTTGCAAACTTTTGCGGGAAAAATTATGAATAGCGTAATGCAGCGTTGACCAATGAGGAGAATGAACTATCCTGCTCATTATATTGAGGAGTTAACTCAACAACGAAGACGACATTAATATTTCAGATAATGAAGAGGGGAGGATACTACATTTATAATTGAGGATGTAACCCCCAGAATATTAAAGGAGACTGGAACATTGAAATATCGATAATTTTTCGACGTGTTCGTATTTAGTTTATATTTCATAATATTTTTAATTTTTTTATGATCTGATAGATACTTTTGAAAACATTTATTCCTGGTTCGAGGATTTTTTGATAATGAAGACGACAGTCATATTTTCCAGGAATGTTCGAAAATCCATGCGCAAGCAAAAAATTATTTAAAACACAAACAAAATCAAAAATATTGTGAAATTTTAACTATTTACAAATGCGACGAAAAATAATCGATGACTATTGTTTTACGATCCGAGTTGAATGTTGCAACTTTCTGAATTTGTATGAACGCTAGGTTCTTCGGTATGGAGTAGTTTTTATGGTCCGTTTTTAAATATTCAAGGTTATTTCAAAGTTTTATATATTTTCGTTAAGTTTGCTTTTATTACATTATGCAAAATTTTTGAACATTCAATTTTATTTCAAAATTGTTTATATATTCGTTAAGTTTGCTTTTCTTTCATGCAAAACTTTTAAACATTCAATGTTATTTCAAAGTTGTATGTATGTTCGTTAAGTTTGCTTTCATTACATTATGCCAAATTGTTAAACTTTTAATGTTATTTCAAAATTGTATATATGTTCGTTAAGTTTGCAAAATCTTTGAACATTCAATTTTATTTCAAAATTTTTTATGTATTCGTTAAGTTTGCTTTTCTTACATTATGCAAAATTTTTAAACATTCAATGTTATTTAAAAATTGTATATAATTTCGTTAAGTTTGCTTTTATTACATTATGCAAAATTTTTACCCTGCAAAAGATATATTAGCTAAAACGATTGGTTAATTCGTTTTGGTAAATATCTTTGATCAGAGAATTTTTTTTTCCATAAGTTCGCCTGACCTACGTTTGTCTGTCTTATTTTTTTTTTTTTGCAAATGACAAAACAACTGCCAATATTTAAGTCCTCATTGCTGTTTTACATGCTTAGAACCCTCACTAAGAAGTTTTTATCCCAATATACCAATTAAAAAAAAAAACGAAAAAAGCTGAAAACCAATTTTTTCTTTTGCTTTTAAGTAGCTGAAATCTTCCCTGACGCACAACCGTTATACATTTTATGTCATATGTAATTATAATACGGTTTCTGTTGAATTCGAACACGCAAGCAACACACCTGTGTATCTGCTCTGGTCGAAGTAGTCCTCCTAGTCCTGTCCAGGCGAAGGTCGTCTGGCCACGTCTAGGAGATCTAGGATAGGAACAAAAGTACACCTTCAAGTACTACCAACTAAGAACTGGAGCCGAAAATTGAATAAACTACCTTTTAATAGTTTAAAGTTGGAATTAAGGATGGCTACCGATTAGCATAAATATGAAAAAAAGCAAAGCGTATAGCATATTGATGAATAATAAAACTCTTCGCTCATATATATATATTAAATATATATATTTAATATTTATGTATGTTAGCTATAGCTGGCCAATCGGATGAGATTTTTTGAGGAAACCCCTGAATACCTTGGAGGTAAAAAAGGCAAAAAAAACTGCAAAATTTCAATTTTTTAAATTCCACGGGCAACGCCGGGAACTTCAGCTAGTTTGTGAATAAAATATCACCTTATTCTTATTGGAAAATGTCTTATTTTGTATTTCCATGTAAGTGTTAATCCTTTTAGTTTTGAAAAGTCCACGAAATGGGCCTTTTTAAACCTCATTTGAAATTATTTATCAAATTACAATTAAACTCAATTTTTCTTTGGTAATATTTGTCATTTAGACGACTAAAGCTTTTCTATTAAGGCACTAACAAAAACTCAAAAATCATTTTTTTAAAATTACCTGTTGTGCAGGTTTCATGAAATTGATAAATGTGCACCATCAGAAAAATATGTAAACTGTGTTTTTTTATTTGACAACATTTGCATGCGACACATTTTCCAGCACTTCTGTGCTCTATTTGCTTTACCCTTTGTATTTTAAAAAGCTAAAACGTACTTCTAGATATAAAAGTTTCAAAAATGAGAGGGACACGACAAATATATATATATAATATATATTTTATATAAAAATATTGATGTAATATTATAAAGAAAAATGATATAAAAGGTACGAGTTTATAGCCTCTGTCTGTTTTTGACAAAGTCTAGAGTTTGTGTTATACATAGACGTTAGTGCAAACTTTTAGTATCAATTTTGTTATTATACAGGGTTACACAAAAAAATGAGACTTCTGAAAAATGTGTTATTTCTTACTTTCTTAGATCCCTGTATCTTTTTATATGTTAATATATATATAAACATATATGTATATGTTTTTTTTTACCCCCCACCCCACCCTTCTCCCTCCTATCAATGATTTCACATGTAACACCAAATATAACGCCCGGGCCTTATTAAGTTACTAACGTCATGACTTGATATTCAGGGATATGATGTCCCTGCAAACAGGACGTACCTGGTTCTGGCTAATGTAGTAAGCCTGCATAGGAAGGCCAGGATGACGGTAACCAGGATGTTGGCCGTCCTGGCTGTATTGGCGGTCCCATCCATATACTATCTAATACCCTAGATGTTGGACGAGTGGACGAGTCGAGTGTAGTTATTTTTATAAATTATTTTATTGTTTTATTATTTATAAAATATTCCTAGTCTTAGTCGTTGCAATTTTGTTAAACAGGCTGTTATAAAAATTCATCAATTGTGGCAATCCTTAAAAATTTTAAATGTTAAGATATCTTGATGTAGATTTGTATTTAATATTTCTGTTTCGATCTCAATTCAAAATTTTCTCTGATTTTATAAAAATAATTTAAAACTGACTATAATATTTGTTGTAATATATGTAATTATGTTATTGTGGATAACTATACCGGAACTGTAAAGTTATCACATAGTTTTGGTGTCTAGGTTAAAAATTCTTTGTTGTTTGTAGAAATAAAAATAATGTCATATGGAATATCTGAAGAAAAACAGTTTTCTATCGTTTCTCGGTCCTGAGAGAAGAAAATTGGAGACGATACAGTGGATTTATGTATAGGATGGAGCTCTTTGTAATACAGCTGCATCCTGCATTGTCTGAAAGAGTCAGGATAAATAGACGGAGGATTCCAGGAGGTAATTCATATATTTCCTAGTTCTGTTTACAACCATTTTATTTCTAAGAGTTTGAATGTTAAACAGCTTCAAGAAAGACCATATTGATTTAGAAAAATTCTTCAAAGAATGAGACAATTGTTTAATATTACGACCTAATAATTTGGTTTTCTGCCTTAAACAATGAATTATAGTCCTCATGATTTTAAAAGAAATGATTTGTCAGAGGAAGAAACAAGTTTACAATATTTAGAGTGTACAGCTGCAGGGAAACCTAGGTATATCTATGTTACTATAAACGGATACAATTTATTTGAATGAATTATTAATATGTGCACTTGTGAAATTAACAATATAAGGATTTAAACAGGGTTACCCGCAACAGATGAGACATTGATGATGATCTAAAACTCTTGAATTACAAATCTCCGCCCTCACGTTCCAAACTTTAATTACTATTTGAACTGGAAGTAATGTTGTAACTCTCACTCATAATGCAACATAATCCTAACTTGACACACCCTTCCTAATTCTATATCAATTACTTTCACCCATATTCACATGCTCTTATCCGCCCTTCATTTAAACCCCTTGTGCCACGTATTAATGGTTGAGAGAGAGGGAATTCTTAGATTTTTAAAAAAGATATGTATTGAACATGTCTTTAGAAGATCTGAACCACTCCTTTCACCCCTCTCTGTCTTAATCACTTAACCCACCCCTCTTGTATTCATCTGAACCACTCCTCGAACATGTCTTGTATCTATCTGAACCACTCCTCGTACCTGTCTTGTATCTATCAGAACTCTACCCCTCTTGTATTCATCTGAACCACTCCTGGTACCTGTCTTGTATCTATCTGAACCACTCCCCCTACCCCTCTTGTATCTATCTGAATCCCTCCTTCTACCCCTCTTGTATCTATCTATCTGAACCATTCCTCCTACCCCTCTTGTATCCATCTGAACCACTCCACCTACCCCTCTTGTATCCATCTTAACCGCTCCTCCTACCCATCTTGTATCTATTTGAACCACTTCTCCTACCCCTCCTGTATCTCTCTGAACCACTCCTCCTAAAGCACTTCTCCTACCCCTCTTTCATCCTCCTCATATCCCTCTTGTATCTATTTGAACCACTCCTCCTACCCCTCTTGAATCTATCTGAACCACTCCTTCTACCACTCATGTATCCACCTGTAACACTCCTTCTATATCCCCTAAACCCATCCTCTTGTCAGTTTCTCCTCTCAATCCTACCTTGACAACTGTAATTTATCTCCGAACCTAGATTTTGTCCCCGAACCATAAACTTTCGCTGTAAACCTTCCACAGTAGGAAATTAAAGCTGTAAACCCTGGAGTATGAAGTATATCTAGGATACCATGGATACTGGATACTTCAGAGAAGGCATTTTATAGCTTAGAGTGAGGTAGCACAAATTTGGAGAATAAAAACTTCTCTAAAACAGTTTTAAGCTTAAAACGGCTGTATCAAAATTAATCAGCATTACTTAATTTATATCTGAGGAAACAGGATACCTAGTCTATATTATACTTGGCATGTGACGTATACTTATTGAATGGTAGCCTGTTGTTGATACCTGGATACAGGATGACTATGTCGAGACACACTTCATACATTGTGTATATCCTTGCCAGCTTGGATCCCTTCAACCACTAATTAAATCTAACTGCTCCACATATACACTCTACACTCTACACTCTACACTCTTATACACTCTATAGACTACATATAGACTAAATATATATACATGTACATATAAACCCCAGTCTCCCTTCAACCGCTAATTAAATCTAACTGCACCAAATATACACTCTACACTCTACACTCTATAGACTGCATATAGACTAAATATATATACATATGACATAATATGACCTCCAAAATGACCACTTGGAGGTCAAAAAGGTCAAAAGTGCCGTCGACGAAAATGTTAATGACATAAGAATAGTAAGAATTGATTTACCATGTGGATTTACCCCTATTTCGGTACCAATGACGGTATGAGTGCTCCATTGACATAATATGGCCTCCAAAATGACCACTTGGAGGTCAAAATGGGCAGTTGTGACCTAGGGAGTAAAATTTTCGAAAAAAAAAGATTGAAATGGATTTACCATGGGCTTTTACCCCTGTTTAGACACACATGACGATGTTTGTGTGCTATTAATATAATTAGACCTCCTAAAATGACCCCTTTGAAATCAAATTTGCGGATAATGACCTCGGCGGTAAATTTTTTCAAAAACCAATATCATTTTTGAAACATGCATATGCTTTGACCTATAAAACGATACCTTGGACGGCTTGTGCTCTCTAAGACATAAGTTTACATTTATGAATGTGTTCTTTTTTTGCGTGAACAGTCCCTTAGAAGGCCCCATGAAAGAAAATTACAACATTTTTGGCCTACCTAACTACCTAATACCTTGAACCTATCATATAAATGGACTAATAACAAATGAAAGCGTGAACATATCATTTCTAAAGTAAAAATATTATTAATTAAAGTGATGACTTTTTTAAAGTTTTTTTTTGTAATTTCAGATTTACAAAAACTGTTGTATTTTTGTACCCTGGTGGGTTAGATAAAAAAATTTGATTGAAATAGCGAGCTGTGGATTGTACCAATTGATTTCAAAAAGAAAATTAAAAAAAAAATTATTTTTGTGGTCTGGGCAAGGTTCGTACGGAGGTACCCGTAGCTCTCTTTTCGTTTTTTTTTAATGCATATTTTTATTTTTAGATTGCTCCAGCTCCAAAAGTAATAATCGCTGATCCAAAATTTTAGTTAAAAATGAAACCTAAGACTAACAGCTTATGATTTATAAAAAAAATTTTGACAATCTTTAAATTTTTCCATACTTTATGAACGAATGAAAATGAGACGTGAAAAATCGAAAAATTGAAAAATCCGGGAAATCGATTTTCGACTTACGCTCAATTAATTGGTTGTAACATAAAAAGTATGAGGCCTAGAAAGAAAAATTTCACATCATGAAATAACTGAAATATAGAGCTTTCGAATGACACCTTGATCGTAAAAATTGAACGAAAATTGTTTCCTCAGTTACTAATACCCCTACTGCACAGTTTTTTTTGAGACACCCTGTACATGTACATATAAACCCCAGTCTCTCCTATTAAGACTAAAAGCTTGAACAATACATATACATGGTTTAAATGCTAATTAATCTATGCATGTGCTGATTTAAAATAGGAGTTAAATCTAGAACATGATACTAACACGTTTATTGATCTATTATTGTTTTGTGCAAGGGCTAAAGTTAAGAAATAAAAATACAATTTTGGCAAAAGTCTATACTACATTACAATAGCCAAGTCTAGATACTACATTACAATTTCTTCTGTGAAGAAATATTTGGAGATTTAAGGTACAATGATAAAGTTAAGATACGATGGCTAAAGTTGAGATATATTCGTTAGAGATAAGATGCACATGAGTTAAGATACAAATGGCTAGAATAAAGATACAATGGCTAGAGTTAAGATACAATGGCTACAGTTAAGATACAATGGCTAGAGTTAAGATACAATTGCTATAGTTAAGATACAATAGCTAGAGTTTAAATACAAGAGCTAGAGTTAAGATACAATGTAATCGTCAAAAATACAAGTAAATAATGAAGACAAGATTACATATATCGAGTTCAATAAAAAATCACAATGAAATATTCCCAAAGTTTAAGTACATTTATATCTCATTTATCAACAGTGGGACAAATATATGTTACCATAATTAAGTTACGTATGACAAATGGACTTAATATAAATTCATTTCGTTCTTGTTTTAGATTTGGATGATATTGGTTTCTGCTTTAGCAGTTTCATGTGAGGACTTCTGTATGGAACTTTACTCTCAAACAAGCTCTCCGTATCTGATTCAATTTCGCTGAAATAAATATGAACATATAAATCACAATTAACGGAGTGTGTGTACTGTGTACTATGTGCAGTGTACATATTAAGGACCCCCCTTACCTTTCCCTTGGAGTATCAAACATTCTAAGGGCTGATAAACTTTAAAAAGAAGGAACCTATTTAAATTATTCAATCATTTTAACTCATTCTGAACATAAGACCCCTCCATGGTTCTACTGAGAGATTTACAAAGTTTTCCTGGGCTGTGATATAATAAGATCAGTCCTTACAAAAGTTACCAGATTACATGACTTGATTTCATGAATGAAAAAAATGCATGAAAACTTTTACACAGGTTCAGAGCATTGGAATCTTCAAGAGACTAAGAAACTGCCCCCCACCCCTATACACTTTTTGAATTGGTTATATTGGAAAGGTGTGAAGGGTCTTATACTAACGCATTAGGGAAATTTGAAGAATGGAGAGTATTAGTCATAGGAAAGGAATAAAGGTAAGGAGAAAAAAAAACCAATCTGTATACCTGTAATTTTTGGCTTGCAAAGCAGTTCTTCTTCCCTCCACTTGCCTTGAACTGGAGGAGCGAGGGGAACCTGATTTCTTTTTGGTCATCAACTTATCCGTCTTTGGCTGAACAGATTCTTTTACTTTTTTCTCAGTCTTCTTCTCATTTGGACTTTTCTTCTCAGTTGAAACCTTTTTAGTTTTCTTCGTCACAACAGCATCCGGTTTTAGTTTTGTTTTGTTTTTAGTGACAGTTAATCCGGTTTTATTTGGTTTACTTTTCGTTTTAGCCCTAAAAACATTTGCATATAAGTATAATTAACTTACAGTTATAGTGATTTTTTCCCCAAGAATGCAGGGGTGTATACTGTTTATAAATACGTTTTTTTTTTTCTCCCCCCCCCCCCACTTTTTTTTGATTTCTTTCTCCAAATTTGATGACCAAGATAACTACATTTTATATACTTATATTGCAGTGCATTATAATCCGTAAAAGGGTGCATTTAAAAAAAAACATGATTTTTAAAAAAAAATTCGGGTATATATCGCAAAAATAAGTCAAGCTTGATTAATTGTCAGTCCAGGAGTACACCGTTTCTTGGAATTCATTATCCATAATTTTTCTTGGGGGGGGGGGAATTTGAAATTTTTAAAAGTAGGTTTGACTATTTGGAAAAATAATCGAGTAATGAGTATTCTTTTACCATATTTGTTATGAAAAATTTTTAACACGTTAAGTATGTACAAACCTTGGAGAAGGTTCAGCTGAAGAATCTGGCAGAGATACATCATCTTCATCCTTCTCCTCTTTAGGTTCAACCTTTAATTTCTCTTTCCGGGATATAAACACCTCTTTCTTTATTGATTTCTTAACAACCTTTTTCTCCTTTTTAACAGTTTTACTTTCATCTTCGTCCTCCTTCTCTTCTCCTGAGTCTGCCTCTTCCTGTTGTGCGGACTTGGCAAGGAATCTTTTACTTACAGGAAGCTTCTCAGTTTCAATATCATTATCAAATTTAAACCCTGGTAGGTCTTCTTTATATATCACTAGGCGTTTAGGTTTGAAAGGGAAAACAGATTTTCTAGGAAGAGAAGTAGAACCATCTTTCTGGTTACCAAGGACGGATGGTCGGGAGGGGCGGAGCCATCGAGAATTGCAAACATTCATTGAGTTACAGGACTGATAGGAGTCCAACAGTGAGATGGTTTCTCTCTCCTCGGACTCGAAAGGAATTGTAGGAAGCTCTTCCTCTAAACAGTCGAGCAGTATTGCATCGACATGGTCCGCTACAACTTGGTCAAGAACAACATTTCCATTTAACAACTTATCCTTCTTCTTCTTAGGTTTGTCCTTCATAGTTTTAAGAAGTTCCTCTGACGATATCCTACTCCGAGTTGGAACTGTAACCTTGTCAGACCCTTTCTCTTGGCTTAACTTAGAAGGCGTGGCAACAGCAGAAAGATCAACCTCGGTCAGTGTCTCCGTGTTTCTAAGATACCGATCCATACTGGACGCTATTTGGACAAAGTCGGCGATATTCTCACGCTTAAAATGTTTGGCAGAGGCAAGAGAATCGTTCGAGGTTTCATCATGATTAAGGAAGGGTACAAAGCTGGGGAAGTGGAAGTCCCTCTCATCCTGAATAAGAAGAGCTTCCGCAAGCTCCTCGTCTGTAAGATGGGGACCTTCGTGAAGGATTGCCTAAAAAATAAAAAGGTTTTACACTGACCAGCAAATAAAACCGGTGAAAAAACGAAATTAAAAAACAACATTGTTTATGTGATAAAAACTAAAACAACAAGAAGTTAAACAAAATTTCTTAATAATTATGTATTTATTGTTTACCCCTGATATCACCTTTGTCGAAGCGTGACACCTCGGACTAATTCTCGGATGAAGATCCAGGAGATGATCAGCCTTCGGACCCAGTTTACTCTTTCCTTTCTTGTTGTTCTCACTGTCAGTACTTTCACATTCAGAAACTAAACAGAGTCAATTAATGCGGGAATAACTTATTATTATCAGTAAACATTCTGATAAATGCAAGAAGGATTAGTGAATAGTTAAGATTAAAAAGTAACATCATGTAAAATGCAATTTAATGCGCCTAAAAAAATGTAAAACTATGAGCAGAGCTGGAAACTTTTGTATTGGATACTCTATATCCCGATCACTTTATCTCGATATCTTCAATGGACACTTTTAATTTTAAGATCAATGCTAAATCTCTAAATGTCAGTTATCCATTCCTAGCTGAAAACTTTAGAATGGTGGATATCGAGATCAATGATTGATTTTCTTTTTTTCCCGTAATCTCCAGATTAAATAAGGCTTGTTCTCCTCTTTTTATTAATCTCCAGATTAATTAACCGATCAGGATTAAGGCTATTCCATCCTAGTTTTCAACTCAGGGTACAATTACACTGCGGATATCGAATAAAGATTAAATTAATCTGCAGATTAACAAAGATCAAGATCAAGTACTAATCTCAATATCCACAATACAAGAGTTAACAGCTCAGGTCGGACAAAGCTAAAAAGTGGACATTTCAAAGGGACGACACTCACCTTTTTTCTTCTTCTTCTTCAATGGCAGAGTATCCTCCGAGTCTCCGAGAAGATTCTTTTTTACACCTTTCTTCTTCAAGTTCTCGTCTTGTTTACCCTCCGGCTTGTACGGCATGAAGGTTGAATAAGGAAGCTCGTATGGAAGCATAAATGGAAAACTTTTAGATTCCGGATAAAATACAACATCTTCACCGCGGTCCTGCCGGCTATATGTCTGGAACCAAGACTCGTGGAAAGGGGTGGCTTCAAAAGAGAAATGAAGTTTATCCGCCTCTACTGGTAGAGAATCAGTGGCTGCTAAGGTTTGATTTAATGTCTCCCATCCATTCCAAACCTCTCCCGTCTCTTCAATCTAATGTTTANTATCACCCTGAAAAAAAGAAACCATGATGAGTTTAATGTTATCGGGTGTCTGATCAAGGTTACTTACCTCATGGTCTGAATCTTTGTTGACTTTGGGAGATTTTTTGTTCAAACGAGGACTGAAGGTTTTCAGTAGATCTCCACTTCCATTCTTCTTCTTTTTACGCTTTCCTTCAGGTTCTGTGTCGCTCTCGCTATGTTTCCTTTTCTTATTTTTAGAAACTGATTCTTTCTCGTCTCCGCTTTCAATATTTGAATCAGATACGTCAATCTCTAGAGGGCCAAGTTCTTGAGATCCACTAATACGTTTAGCAGCAGCAGCTGCTGTTTCAAAATGAAAGGAAGTATCAACAGCTTCAAGGAGTTTATCTAACTCGGATCTTCGAGATTTCTTCCCAGGAGACGGAGAACAAACGGAATCCGTCTTGGTTCTTGATCTCGTGGATTTAGTGTAGCTACCCTCACTGAAAATAAAATTTGTATTATACAATCTATGAGTGGGTTATACTTTGTTATTTCCCCCAACCCATGTAAGTCAATTTAATTGATTCAACAAATATGCATACTCTGTGACCTCTTAAAGTTCCATGATTTTCATGATTATTCTCTTTCCAACCCCAACTATCACTCTAGGTTTCAAACAACTGACATTTCTGCCAGTATATATTTCGTCGCAATACGACAACATCATCCGATGGCTAATTATCTCTTTTAAAAGTGAATCAAGCGTAATATAACTTTGTCGTTTCTTTTAAATTCAACCTGGCATGCTTTAAATAGCTCAACTTATATTTGGTAATAAAAATAAAATGACCAAATAGAATAATATTTAACAAGAAATTTTTTTACCTTAACTTTAAAAAATACGAAGAGATTCTTTTTTGAGTAAAATGACTAAGTAAAATTTTATATTCTAGAAACACATCTTTTCTTGTAACCGGCGGCCAAGTTAGAGTTTTGTCAGATTTTCTAAACATTTGTCAAAATCATGTTTTAGTTTCCCTTTGATCAAAAATTCAGAAATGCCTAAAAAAATTCCTGACATTGACTTTAATGATCCGGTTTAATTCATTGAGAATAAAATGGATAGTCTTACCTTTCGTCATCACTGGAATCAATGCATTTCGAGGGAGTTTTTTCTTTCTTCCTAATTCTACTCAAGACCAGTTTACCGTTGGATACTTCAGGTTCGGATTCACTGGGAGAATAATCACGTGACCTTGATCGTTTAGTTCTTGATCTCACTTTACTATACTGGGATCTAGAGCGGGGTGCTCGAACACTATCCTCACTATCTGATCTAACAGGACTATGCCGACAGCTCGAGGTCCGTGGTCGAGATTTCCGCTGTATTCCTCCCGACGGCCCGGACTTGTGACGTGATCTTGATCGTTCTCCGGGTTCCTCATCTTTCCCTTCTACTCCTTTCGACTTAAGAAAGTCTAGAAATGAATTATGGAATCCTACAGGTTCCTTTTCACTCGTCTCACCATTTATTTCAAAAGTTTTGCTCGACCTAGTTTTCGAAGATAAAACTTCTAATTGGAAATAACTAGCATTGTCTTCTAAGAACTTTTCCGCAGAGGATTTACGTTTACTCTTTGATTTACCAGTCGATTCATCACCATTTGTAATCCCATTCTCCACTAAAGTGTTCACTGTGTCCGGATTAAATGAAACTTCATCATCCTCGTCTACGGGGTCCGTTGAATCCTTCCTTGATTCATCCTCGGACCCTCGGGTTTTCCGACGGATCGTCAAAACCTGCAACAAAATGTTAGTTCGTATAACGTCCTTGTTGAAAAACTTTACGCTACTTTTATAAATACGTTAAAAGAAGCAGTGCTTAGATCCGGATCCATTAAATCCGCAAGATTTTGGCTTCCTGGATCCGGATCCAAGGGGTAAAATTTCAACCAAAACCTGCCAAAAAAAAAAACCTTTTTTACTCCTAAAACCCAAATCTTAACTTTTGAAAAAAGAGATTATAAAAATTTCCTCATTTCTGAATGGGTCAAGTTTTAGGATAAAAATAAGCGAAAAAATATAACAAAAAATTTGAAAATTATTTTTTTGTTAATAAAAATTCAGTAAATCTTAAAGAAATTATCTGGATCCGGATCCATTTTTTCAAGTGCGAATCCAGGATCGGGATCCGCATAAAAATTAAATGGATTCTAAGCACTGAAAAAAAGCATACCTTCTGAGATCAGCATTAAATATATGTATTTGGAGGGAGTCGGGCATATACTTTAATGCAAGGAAAGTTAATTGCAGTTGCATATACTCTGCGTACATATTGAAACCTGTTCTCTCTGGGCGGAATTTGTGAACAAGAATAGATGCATCAGTGTTCGTTTCGTATCCGAGGAGGTTAAAAGCATTACATTTTGATACTTTTGATAATTCACATAATAGTTTCCTATGGCCAGAATATTTCATTGATTTTTTTTATGTGAAAGATGGATCCCATGTCATGCTTCGACATCCGTCTTGCTTTAATGTATGACTCTACATGTATATATATCATTAATATATTTCACCTGTGGTTCTGCTTCAGTTTCAAGAATTCCATTTTCTCTCGACTTCATCCCTATTTCGCTAAGGTCACATCTGGGACCTGTTTCAGCCAGGGGCGCCACGTTCTCCTCGTTACCCGACTCCAGGGCTTTGTTCGCATCAAAGGAATTATATCTTTTTCTACGATAAGCTTTGCCAGGCGGGAGACATTCCAAAACTTCCCCAATCTAGAGAAAACTTAAATCATTGATATGTGAGTCCTAGTTTTATTCTCATAAAATTTTTTGAAATAGAAAGAAAATTTACGGTTTTTCAACATGGTATTAGTTGAATGATGTGCTTCAAGTTTAAAAAAACTACATTTACTTACCGAAATAATCAATTCAGTTCTGGTTGGCATCTTACACACAATTCAAGTTTTGATTTCATAACAACCAAGGTTTGAAGAACATGAGTGAGCGCTCTAGGATCAGAATAGTATACTGCGTGCTGAAGGTTGGGTTGTATCCACCTTGCAGTCAACTTCCATCCAATTATTAATATCCTGAACAAACTTCGTGTGCAACTCTCCCCTCAGATGCGAATCTAGTGCACTGAATGATTTATTGCAGATTTCACAAAAACCTCCGTCTTTTTTCTTCGAACACTCTTTCTTACGTAGACTAGGATCCTCTTCCTTCTGACGGTTTGGCTCAAAACGACCGGGGAAACTTTTCTTTTTCTGTTTCTTTCGTTGTTCACTAAACGGTGACGAGCCTGCCCAACCGTCTAAACTTATTCTCGGCCAGGTTTTAAACTCCGAGAAAGAAGGTCTAGCGTATCTAATAGAACTGTCTAGCTTGAGGAAAGGATCTCTGAGATCTCTTTCCTTGTGTTTAACCTGACTCGGTTTTTGTCCTGAGTGAATATTTCCGTACTTGGATTTAAACTTGGTGAGCCAAGCTAGAGTTTTGTTAAGTGACCAAATATGACACTTGAACTTCTTTGCAATCTCTAGAACGTCACTACATCCTGCAGATCTCTCAGGAGTTCTGGTTGCGTTTAGCATATGATCAGCGCGAGATTTTACTTTCTTACTCTTATCACCCTGAAAAAAAGAAACCATGATGAGTTTAATGTTATCCATCGTTTTTGTTGTTGTACACCATTTAAGCTGACACCGCGAGCACCAATAGAAAACAGGAATAAATCTAATATTTTCTTTTATTCTTCACACAAATGCGTTCAACAATAGTAAAATTTCACAATTTCTGTATTATCTTAATAAAACATTGTTTCTAAAATTACTATACAAAATTTCTTTTTTTATTCACATATTTTCTTTCAACTTGTTTGAGTATTTTTACTTGCGTATTTGTTTTTTATCTTTACAGGATCGAGTTTAAATTTTTAACACGCAACTTTTTTTAAAATTTTATAATCAAATGTTCAACTTAAGTAACTATGCAATTGAAACTTTTAATTTTATTGAATAGAAGAAAACATTTAATCCAACAATACTTACATCCCAAGATGCAGATGGGGAAGGAGTAGCTCCAGGAGTCCAGGGAGAAGGGGGACCACAACTAGTTCCATTTGAAACCAGGAGGAACTTCCATTCTGGACCCTCACTTATAACATGGGTAACCTCCTTCGTCAGAAATTCAACCAAACTCTGAAAAAAGTTAAATAAAAAATAATGTTATTAACCCATTTTGGCCGAAATTAATAAACGCAAATAAAGGAATATTTCAAATAGCAAATTAAATATTAAATTGTATGATTATTTTTGACAAGGGGTTCAAAATTAATTTCTCCTTAATGATTTGTAATCTTAGAAGAGAAATACTCAGCCGCCAAGAATTTTAAAGTCCTAAATGTTTTAATTGAACGAGTATTATGACACATCGAAACGCTCACAAATAACATATACAAGGTATTATAGAAAATTTTAGATAAAATATTCATTCGCGTTTTACAATATTTCTGTAGCAAAATAATAATCTATTGACCACAAAGGGTTTGTTTGACTATCTATCTATCTACCATGAAAGTGTACAGTTTTCTATCTCTATATATATCAATAATACAGCAAATATATAATATACTATGACATATATATATATATGTAGATATATAAACCCTGAGTTTAGTATTACTTAGAATTTAACTGTGTGTAAAAATACAATTGAACGGTCTGTCTGGATTAAACGAACAAAAGAAAAAATGTAAATATTGGAAAAAACCTAACAATCAACTTTTAACTACAGGAAACTGTTCACGCATGCGCAGTTGTTTCATTTTAAACTTTCGTTCACTGAAATGGGAAATGTTTCAGTGTCTTCTGTACAACAAAAACATACTCCAAACCTTTAAACGTCTCCTGGATAAGGGAAATACAATGAAGATTCCTAGAACCCCCCGTTTTTACGGTTTAGCTGTGCGCTATCTATATTTCCTAACAAAAATTGATCTAGACTGGCCTGGCCTACAGTGACCCGGCATAATTCAGTATTCGTACACCTGGCGCCGCCACCATCGACAATCAGGGCGGCATAATTTTCTAAAATCGTACAAAACATTGGAAATTATTTCTGTACAGATAGAGAAAAAAAAGAAGATTTACTCAAAAATAAAATAATCGGAGTATTTTTGAATTTTTTGGTGCATTAAACTCCCTGGTTAGTAAAGCGAGAGTGTTGAGACCAGAAAGAGGGGGAGTCGGTAAGAGTCAGCAGAGAAGTTCAGCTCCCCCCCCCTCACCTCACACAGTGTATCCAACTGGAGTCTTATTTCCTCCAGTTCAGGGGTATAGCAATACACAAGTTACAAAATACACCCCTCCCCTCCCCCATATCGATTTAATTAAAACTATTTTAGCAATTTCTAGTGAGTAGTTTCGGCATACCTTGATATCTTCTAGAAATGATGCAATAACTAGACATTTACCCTGACAGCTTGTGTGTGTACTGTGTAGTGGAGAAGGGGGGGGGGGCCAAGTAAGTTGGATGGATATCACCCTCCCCCCTCTCTTAATCTAAAAAGGAATATTTAAAATAAGGATTTGCTAAAAAGTTTAAAATAAATGTTCATTTTTTAGTAAAAACATTTCGGTAATTTCATAGAGAACGATTTTTGGACCCCCCCCCCCTTTCATTTTTACATGACCACTTATTACGTGTTAGGTTAGGTTAAGACAATTTCTGGGCCGAGCGCTGCGGCTAGGACAGGCTAGGT